CATAAAGTCTATGAATAAGCTTATATCCATCGAAATAAATTTATTATTGACTGAATTTTTGAGGGTTTTCCTACTTATTCTTATAATTTGCTCTGTATCATACACTGAGCTCTCATATGGACTGAAAAGTTCTCTTTAGAATAATCCTTACCAATTTCATTTCGTTATTTTTTTTATATATATATATATATATATATATATATATATATATATATATATATATATAAAAACGTCTATCTATCTATCTATCTATCTATCTATCTATCTATCTGATTAATAATTAAGTGATCAATAGAATCGTTCTTGCGATGAGTGATTAGAAAATTACTAAACTCTGAGTTAAGCTTCGATATATATCGAATGTTTTTACTTCTATTCTAATATTAATAATTAAAGCTCTAGTTTTATATTGAGAATTTATTAGCCAAAATTCTGTTAAATATTGCTGTACGTAAAATTATATTAAATTTGCGTATATTATTTGCTAGTATTATTAGTTAACATTTTTATTGTTAGATTTTATCTATCTATCTATCTATCTATCTATCTATCTCATTCTGTTCATCTCTCTCAGTCTTTTCATATCTCTCTCTCTCTCTCTCTCTCTCTATCTATCTATCTATCTCATTCTGTTCATCTATCTCAGTCTTTTCTCTCTCTCTCTCTCTCTCTCTCTCTCTCTCTCTCTATCTATCTATCTATCTATCTTCGTTAATGTGGAGAAATGTTACAAGTTGAGAGTCCTTCCTAAAACATTTTTGTCAGTGATCAATTATCGAATGAATTTCTGAACTGTTTTAATAAACATTTCTTGTTTAAATAGCATGAACAACCATTCTTAAAACATGAATTTATTTAAAGAAATAGAAAAAACGTGAATAAAAACGCGCCTAATTTGGTCAAAATAAGCAGCTACATATCGGTACGGGAAAATATATCTGATCTCGCAGCATCGAAATAAGCCTTTCGTATTTTCTATTTATATATAAAAATTTTTTTTCCCCTAACTTGAATGAAATCAAAAATTTGTGTTTTTTTTTTTTGTTTTTTTTTGTTTTTTTTCGGATGACCTCGCTATGTTAAATTAGCGAAACAAGAAGATTTAATTCTGAGGAGGTTTCTAATTTTCCTCACTTTTTTCTAATTCCTCGCCGTTTTTGGTTTTCGAACCCAAATCGTTTAACTTTTTCTTTGCTGGTTGGTACAATATCTGAATTGACAAATGTGTGAGTACTTTCGGCTTTTAAACGCCATTGTCAAAGAAATTTTGTCTTTTCTTTCATTCAGATTCTTGTTTTTAAAATATCGCGTCTTCACGTGTCATCCCGATTTTATAAATTATGGCGCCTTACGTGTCAGTTCGTGCTATCGTGCCAGAATTTATTTATTTGTTAAAGGTTCTTTAGAAAAAAGTAATTCTTATTTATTTATTAAAACAATACGACAATACAAACTGATACGTGAAAACGCGATACGTAAAAAACGAACATGACGCATGATGACGCGATATTTATAAAACGATGAAACCAACATACAATGAAAAGAAACTCTTCGATAATGGCTTATGAAAACTGACAATACTCAGACACTGGCCAAATGATATTCAAATTTTCACTGGAAACCAGCAAAATGATCCGATATATATATATATATATATATATATATATATATATATATATATATATATATATATATATGCATACATATTGTTGAAAAAGCTACCTTCAACTGATGAGCATCTAGGTAAACTTCATGTGTGTGTGTGTGTGTGTGTGTGTGTGTGTGTGTGTGTGTGTGTGTGTGTACGTGTTTCGTAACATAAGCCAGTCGTTTTTTGTGGAGTGGTTTATTTACGTCGTGTCTTCGATCTGAACATCCATACTATCAATATGTAAGTATATATTTATATATAAAAGTAAGTATAACTTACTTTCAAGTTGATGTTTTTTTTTTCAATCGGAGAATCATTTAACATTTAGGATTTATCTCCCCTTTTTTCTCACCATCGGGAATGGCTACATGTTTACACTATGTGCACACGTTTAAAACTTTGCAACTAATGTTCTGGTCGTGTCAGTTAAGGTAAGCAACTGGTCGTATCTAAGAGTTGCCTCCCTTGATTAACTGTGGGGAATAATAGCTACTTCCTGCATGTGTGTTAATTTTTTTTTAAAGATTAAAAATGTAGAATTGACATTCTTGTCGGGCGATGGAAGAAAAATAAGTTTTAAAATCAATCAGTCGTCTTCCTTGTCATATTGAAAATCAAACGGTTATGTGCTCAATGAACGTTGGACTTGAGGTTCTGATAGCGTATTTTAAAGGAAGTAACAATTTTCATTTAAGAGTTTTCTCCCTTTACGTAGTTGCAATCAGCTGTAATTTATCGACGACCACATGCCAAGCAAACTCCCGCCCTCTCTTTTCTGCTCACGTGCTCAATAATTTTTTCTCTTTTTTTCTTTCTTTCTCTCTTTCTGATGGACATTGAACACTATTTCTATGCCAACAGGTGTGGTGCAGACGCAAGTATGATAATGGTAGACAAAATAGTGAATAAGCCACAAATAATTAAGCAGAGGCGATCGATGACCATGGCAGCGAATTTCCAATCGCCTTTGACCTCCTCATCATCCTCATCAGCTTTGTATTTCCGTGTTATTTTTTGTATTTCTTTTAGGATGGCCATCAGTTCTCCACGTCCGGCATTGTCGGCGATCAAGGGTAAAGGAGGTTTCACGCCCCCGTTTGGGTTGTCCGGTCGGATCTCATCCTCAATGTCTAGCACGTTGGCCAGCAGACTCTTCGATGAACGCTCAATCAGCTTCATATCCTGAGCACGAGAATTCTGGACGGTGTGCTTCTTAGGCATGCGTACACGTTCGATACCTGGGCGACTCATGCGGAGGACGTAGGCTAACCAACCGCAGATTCCTTTTCTCACCTGAAATGACAAGAAAGATTAAAAAAAAACACCTGTAGAATTATTGGTGGCCAGAACAAATTATAGAGTTCAATAAAATATAGAGCTATTTACTAGGTTTGAGTAAAACAGCTGCTAGAGTGTACACAGCATCAGTCAACACATGATTAATAATCATTTCACTAGCTGAGTATTTCCACGTTATCAACGCTGGGAGACACAACATCAGACAAAGAGTACACAACATCTGTGAACTTATATTAATTATCTGTTCATCGAGTAGCTGAGTATGTCCACCCTCATAAAACTGTAGACACACAATCAGACAAAGAGAGCAACACACTAATGTAGGGGTTCCCAACCTTTTCTATGCTTCACACCCCTAGAAAACATATGATCTTGCACCCTCATATATATATATATATATATATATAAAAGTATATAATTGGTATACACGGAATGAATTCCAATAACCAACAATTACTATTCTTAAAAGAGTGCTCAATACAAAGTAGAGCAGATATAATTATTTTTATAAAAAATTTATAAACATAAGTATGTATAAAATCACTACCAAAAATAGCCATTTTGTTTCAACACACTCTGTGTCTTATCAAGTGATGGTGTTGAAAATAAAATAAATGGTTTTAAAAGTTTCAGATGAATTAACGATCCCACACTAGGGGGAGCATTGTTACAAAAGCTAGAATAACCAATCAAAAACGAAGTACAGAAAGATTCAAAAGCTTGACAACAAAATCCTGCTATTATAGCTATTTAGATCTTTAAATACGTGTAATATTAAAAATAATTTTTACTAACTAATAATTATAAATTTATATGATAAAATTTAATATTAAAATTAAAAACTGGCAATTTTTAAAAATTTTTTTAGTTAATTCCAACCCATTATACGTTCATCCTAATTCCAACCATCCCCCTTCGGTTATCAAACATATACCCACTTCCATTGAATTTAGAATTAGCGCTAACTCTTATAATAAGGAGGTTTTCAATAAACATAGTGATTTTTATAATTCTGCACTAAAAAATAGTGGATACAAAAATACCACTATTCAATATAAAAACCCTGTTAATTGCAACCATAATAAGAAAAGAAGATCTAGAAAGGTTATTTGGTTCACCCCCCTTTCAATGTTATGGTCAAAACTAAGTTAGGGCGTATATTTATTAACCTAATCAAAAACATTTCCCCAACCCTGAAACTAACCCACTTAGTAAAATATTTAATCCTAATACCCTTAAATTAAGCTATAGTTGTGCTGATAACCTAGAGCAGATAATTAAAAAACATAACAACATAGTCTTTAACAAGTATAGGAATTCAAAAGGCTTGACTAATCAACAGGTTACTAACTGCAATACTAACTATAAGAATACAAATAACAACTTATGTAATTGTAGGAATCTGAATAATTGTCCACTACAAAATAACTGTGGGATTACTTCTGTAGTCTATCTTGGTACTATTTCAACAATTGAAAATCCAAATATAAAGAAGTTTTACATTGGTTCTACTATGAAAACATTCAAGGAACGCTGGCGGGGGCATATGCAATCCTTTAATCACAGTGAATATAGGTACATGACTTCATTATCCAAGTATTTTTGGAATCTAAAAGATAAGAACAAAACACCTACGATTAAATGGAGTTTGGTTACGAAAGCTCGTACTTGTAACTCCCTATATACCCCATGTTACCTATGCCTTAATGAAAAATTTGAAATTATTAGATTTAAAAACAAGGCTGATCTCTTAAATCAAAGATATGAACTGACAGTAAATTGTAAACACCGTTATAAATTTAACTTAGTGTAGGGGTCGTATACTTTAAATGATAATGATATGTCGCTGTATTTTTAATAGATTAGTATTTTTATTGCATAATGGTCATACTTACGATATAAGTGTGTATTGTTTACCTGCATAGTGTTATCAGTGTTGGTGTAAATATATATATATTTATTTATGTGTTGGTTAGAGTATTTGCACTGAGGAATGTGTAGGTTGGTGTATAAATGTTTTTTTTTTTTTTTTTTTTTTTTTTTTACATGTGAGGGGTGTATGTGTGGGGTATGTATGTATGTATATATATGTGAGTGTGTGTGTATATATATATATATATTATGTGGGAAAAGTAAGGTAGATTATGAGAGAAAAGGTTAATAATTATTACTGTATATGTGTATGTGTGTGCCTATATATGTATGTGTGTATGGGTGTGTGTATATATGTATGTATTTGTGTGGGGTATGTATATATGTATGTATGTATGTAGAGATATATATATATATATATTTTTATATATATATATATATATATATATATATATGTGTGTATATGGTTGGATATATATATATATGTATATATGTATATATGCATATATATGTGTATGTGTGTATATGTATGTATGTGTGTGTGTGTGTATGTGTATGAGTATGTACAGGTATGTATATGATTAAATCACGACAGTATAATGGTTAGCCAGCATGGTTCACTAGATTGGGTGCGACTGAGTAATGAGTTCGTTCCTCACGGGATGCCCCTTGTTTTCAGCTTTGTGCCACAATATATTTGTATATATATGTATGTGTATGTGTGTATGTATGTGTGTATATATATATATGTGTGTGCATATATATATATGTGTATATATATCTGTATGTCCTATTTTATTGTGTATGTGTATTTATATTTAAGTATATTTCTGTTTGTATGAATGTGTTTATATATTTGTATGTTAGACTATATGTATATTGCTGTGTGTTGGTGTTTGAAGGTATATTTATGTATCTATATGTTAGTTCGTTTATATATGTATTTGGTTGAAAGTTGTTGTATTTTATGTATGCATGTATATATGGGTGGTTGTTATTGCAGGTAGTTATATTTATGGATATATATATATATTTATTTGTAGATATGTATGTATGTGTGTATATATATTTATGTATGTTTGTGTATGTATATATATATAGGTGTGTGTGTTGGAACCTATTATGTATGAGTTTTGTGTATGTGTAGGTATGGAAACTTTGGTATATCATGACTGTTTTTTATATATCTAAGTATGTGTGCATAAAAGTCTATGTGTGTATATATGTGTGTGTATTTAGGTTTATATGTATATGTACGTACATATGTACTTGTTATCATAGATATGTATATGTACGTATATGTTTATGTTTATATATTTATTCGTGTGTATTTCTGTACGTATATGTATGTATATATATATATATATATTTTTTTTTTTTTTTTTTTTTTATGTGTGTTAATTTGTTTTTGCTGCCGTGTATATATATATATATATATATATGTATATATTTGTGGATTTCTTTATCCTGTTTTTCTTTGCCAAATATATAATGAAACTATTATCAACTTATATGATTAATAATATATATATATTTTTATTGATATTTATTGTTTTAGAGTTTTCGTTTTAATATATTAAATAATATTATTTTAAACATTTTTATCTTTATATATTTGCTCCCTTAAGTTATAATTCAATAAGTGGTTAGCATTTATTTAAGTCTGAAATATTTACTGGTTGTGATTTCTCAATGTCTATGACATTGTGGATGTATGTTTGTGTACATATCGGTGTATATGTGTATGTAGAGTGTATTCACATTTAACTGTGTGTGTGTATAAGTGTTAGTTTCCACGTCTCCTTTTTTCGTAAAGGGCTGTGGAGTTGTTCATGTATTCCCCCCACCTCTTCCTTTTTTTTTTTTTTTTTTTTTAAGTGTGTGTGTATATTTGTGTGTGTGTGTGTGTGTGTGTATGTATCTAATTATGTCTGGATGCGTATGTATTATAACCTGATTGTGTTTTTGTTGTGTCACGCGTGAGTTTAAGACCATATTCACAAACTTTAAAATAAAAACGGAAAAGAAAAAATATATACATGTATTATCAGATGACCGGACGAATTGTAGCTTTTTGTCTTGTCAGACGTAATTTCAATGAAGAAATGAATTGAATAAACATATATATTTTTTTTTTCTTTTCTCAATAATTTTGTAGTTTTTTAAACTTAATAGTGATTAAATTTGGATTTTTAAAATTGCCAGTTTTAATTTTAATATTAAATTTTATCATATAAATTTATAATTATTAGTTAGTAAAAATTATTTTTAATATTACACGTATTTAAAGATCTAAATAGCTATAATAGCAGGATTTTGTTGTCAAGCTTTTGAATCTTTCTGTACTTCGTTTTTGATTGGTTATTCTAGCTTTTTGTAACAATGCTCCCCCTAGTGTGGGATCGTTAATTCATCTGAAACTTTTAAAACCATTTATTTTCTTTTCAACACCATCACTTGATAAGACACAGAGTGTGTTGAAACAAAATCGCTATTTTTGTAGTGATTTTATAACATACTTATGTTATAAATTTTTTTATAAAAATAATTATATATATATATATATATATATATATATAGACACAAAAGTAACATTTCATATGAATAAGGAAGAAGGCAATTTATATTCAATTTGAGCAACAGATTTATTTAAGCTAATTTTTGAATGACATGAAAAGGAAGAAAGAAAAAGAAAACCGTTATAACAAACTTAAATACGAAGAAATACTACAAAAAAATTAAACTTCTCATTCAATTAAGTGTAAATTAAACAATTTCAAAAAACTAAAATCTAAAATTAAGAAATTTACATTAAAAAATATAAAATTTCAATCTAATGCCTTTTTTGTTCCTATTTCTTGGATATGATTTTGTCAAAATGTGGTACTTTGTTGCTGATAGCGATCATCATGTCTACCTGTGGATTCCTGTGATTTCTAGAGTTTGTCTTGATTGACAAAAGAAAACTAAATCCAGATCCACATAACTATTTGATTGCAAATGGCATAAGGACACCAAGTGATTTATCACAAAGTCTTGGAAACATATTCATTGCTGAACACCAATATACCTCCAAAGTCTTACTTTCAAATTGCATTTCAAGAGCACGATTTGTCCGCTACTGTTAAAATGGTTAAAGGTGTCAGCAAAAAATGGTTAAAGGTAGCAGCAAAAAATGGTTAATGGTATCGGTAAAAATAATAAGCAAATAAATTTGAATGTTTAACTTTTAAAGTTTAAATATTTAAATTTATTTATTTATTATTTTTGCTAAATTGCCAAAGCCAAGGTTTCGCATCCACTAAAAGGTGATCTCGCACTCCTGATTAGAAATTAATCAATGCGTTCAATGTGTAGCAAAACTTTGAGTTTTTTGTCTTTGTTCAGTAAGCATTATTTCCTAATGGCTTCTGTCTTGAAAACAAAGCACATGACTATTATTTCCTTCAAACATTGCTTCTGTGATGTGAACATCGATGTTTTAAAATTAACATATTTTCTATTACATTCCAGACAGATTCAGCGCTGAGTTGCCGAAGGAGAACTTTCTAGAACTTTCTAGAAGTTTCAAGAACTTTCGAGAAGTTTCTAAAAGTTACAAGAATTTCTCGAACGAGCTGGCTACCAAGGATCGTATAACGAATACATGATGAGAGACAATATTTAGGTGGGGGTGATTCGTGAAAGTAATTTACAGTATAAGCGTTAATTGCAAAAAACTACTCACTTATAAATGTTTTGTGGTATTGAATGATCCCAGAATAAATAAATGCAACTTTTGAATCCTATGTCCTTTTGTTTCTACTTTGCGTAAACAAGAATGTTCACATTCATTCTTTTTCTCAATAGAAGTAGGGGGATTTCAGATATATCATTATCCTGGTCACAAAGTTTGACGGAAATATTAGCCATTGTGCATACTTACTAGACGTAAAAAAAAATAAGAAATAACATTTGCTACCCAAGGACAAAAATCATGTTACACAGTGAATCCTCCGTTCATTGAGCAGGTAAGTTCACTCAAAGCTGTAGACACAACATCAGTCAACGAGTACACAGCATCAGTCAACCTCTTATTAATTATCAGTTTACTGTGTAACTGAGTAAGTCTACGCTAACAAAGGTGTAAACTGAACATCTGTTAACGAGGACACAGCATCAGTCAATCCCTTACGTTAACCATCACTTCACTGAGTAGAAGTGTAAGTGCACACTATTAAAGCCGTAAACAAAATATCTGGCGAGAAATGCAGAATTTCATTCCATTATCATCATTTAACGGAGTAGCTGAGTAAGTTCACTTCAAACATATAGTCTCAACATCTGGCAACGAATGCACAACATCAGTCAATCCGTTATCTATTGTCAGTTCATTGAACAAATGAGTGAATCAAATGACAACACGCTGCATGACACGCTGTAGTAGCTACTGATATTTCTTTTGAATTGTTTATTTGTAACACAGTACTGATAGCAGACACAGAAAAGAAATTACAAAATTTCCTACAGAAGGTTGCGACGGAGTGAGAAGAAGGGACTAAGCATAAACTACAAGAAGACGGAGTGCATGGTCGTCAGTAAGAGGATGAGCCCGAAATGCGATTTGCAGGTCGGGAACACTAGAATCAAAACACACGCAGAAGTTTAACTATCTGGGAAGCGTCTTGACAGACGACGGTATGTGCGACACTGAGATCCGTAGGCGTATCGGGATGGCCAAGGACGCATTCCAAAAGATGGACAGAGTATTGCGAGACAGGAGGATTTCTTTGGTAACAAAGAAAAGAATACTGAACTGTTACTTGACATCTCTCCTTCTTTACAGCAGCGAATGCTGGTCGATTTCCTCAAAGATGAAGAAGAGACTCGAAGCGACAGAGATGTGGTTCTGCAGAAGGATGCTAAGGATAAAATGGACGGAGCGTGTGAGCAACGATGAGGTCTTAAAGAGGTTGCAAACAAGGAGGAGGCTTATACTTAATATCAGGAAGAGGCAGCTGAAGTTTCTGGAACACATAATGAGGGAGGAGGGGCTGGAGAATCTGATACTCACGGGTCGAATAGAAGGAAAGCGAGACACGGGAAAACAACACATTACATATCTGACGGGCAGATATGGATGACAGAACGTGGTCTGGGGGAGGAACCAGAAGGAAGGAACTTGTTGAGAGCTGCAACGTATAGAGGGAGGTGGAGAGCCATGATCGCCTACATCCTGGAAGGACATAGCTCATAAAAAGAAAAAAGATTTTTAAGGAACCTCCTATTCAAAAGACTTCATTCTGTTACGAGCGTACTGATTGGGATTCATTTTGTGAATTTATTCGAGACGCCCCTTGGATTGATATTCTTAACCTTTCTTTTGAGAATTGAATCAGAGAGGTTTCTTTTCGTTGATGCTTTCGTACTTCACGCAAATACCAGGGGAAATCATAATCACACCGGCCTTCTGTAGGAAATTTTGTAATTTCTTTTCTGTGTCTGCTATCAGTACTGTGTTACAAATAAACAATTCAAAAGAAATATCAGTAGCTACTACAGCGTGTCATGCAGCGTGTTGTCATTTGATTCACAAGCTAGAGCTCACATGAACAGATTCCTATGCGTGTCTACCTCAAATAATTGTAAACCTCTCCTCAATGAATCTAAGTTTTTGTTTGCTGGTAGAACGAGACACCGTATAGCCTCTAACAAGTTTGCGTCACGTGAATACTGGCGGCTCTATAATAGTGTGTTAGATAAGTATCAATCGTCTATTCCTCCTCTCTTCACTTAATTTAAGACAGAATTTTTTGATGGTAAATTCTCTTCCAATTCTACTCTTGACTCACCTGGAGCATCTTTGCTTGACTTTCAACTTAGAAGTGAGTCTCTATTGAGGGATATACATATGTGTCTATAGTTTCTGCTATCATCTCTAAACGGGATCAACACAAAGTATGTGGACTTGATGGTATTCCTGCAGTAGTCGTAACGTATCTTCCATGTGAAATACTTTCATGGTAATTGTTTTTATTTAACAGTGCGTCGGTCTACTTACCCAGTTCGGCATCGTATGTGTTTCTGGACTGCGGTGATGATAGTTAAGCACCCATACTGTAAGAACTACAGATACGGAACAGGTCACCATAATACAGGCGAAGTAAACACCTAGAACAACAAGAAATATGAAAGATCAAACACAAATCCTAAATTAACAAAATAATTTAAGTTTTAATCTAAGAATTGAAGAAACAGTAAAATAACTTAGCATAAAAAAGAAAATTTATAATTTAAAATCTTATTCAGTTTACTCAATAACATCGGACCGCTCCCAAAAGATCTTCGTGCTTGAATAACAAATGTGATCCGTTGTCATATTAGGAGAGAAGGTTGTAATGAACTGTCCTCTGCGTGAACTTGACACCACTTACTTCTCAGGAACTTATTTGAGTAATACTTTAACGATTAGCCATACTCATATATATGACCACATATATACAAGTAACCTCCGAGCTAAAAGGTATTCCGCCTACGACTGCCTGGTTGGAAGTCGGGTCTGACTAATTTCGAATGCGTCGTGTATTGTAGTAGTAGTCCCATTTGGTATAATTGTTTTAAAAATCTTTTTAATGGCAAGAAAACAAACACTAATAGAAATATTTTTATTTTAATATAATAAAGAAATAATGTCATGGTGTAATAATATTGTAAAAATATAAGGAATAGTATAATAATAATAATAATAATAATAATAATAATGATAAAATACGGTAAATAAATAATGAAAAATACCACTGAGCAAGAAAGAGAAAGAGAGAGAGGGGGCGTGAGAGAAAGAGATGGAGAGACGGAGAGAGAGAAAAGGATAGGGAGAAAATGAGAGAAAGAGATGGAGAGACGGTGAGATGGAGAGAGATTTGGGCTGGAAATTCATTCCGACGATAAGGAAAACATTTCAAAGACAAAAATCTTCGGACACATAATTTGCATATTAAATTTTTTTTAACATTCATTCTTCTTTTAAAAGTGAACAAAGATGGCGGCGATAAATTTAACACGCCACAAATTTCGAGTGGTCTTTATCTTTACACGAAGCCTTGCTGTCAAAACTTGTGTAGAGTTGCCGATTAATGCTTTTCATGCATTTAAAGTAGCAACTAATTCAAAATAAAGAAGTTGGTTGAGCTGTTGTTTTTTTCCTTTAACTACGTACGTCTGAGATCCGTTCCAACGGCGCGACGTAACCTGATTTTCGACATAGGTCGGAACTGACCTACATAAACACACACGAGTCTGCCTTATTCTTGGGAACAATAATTAAGGGCAAAAATCCCCCTTCACCCCAAAAAATGGCACAAACGAGAGATAGCGGATGTAGCACACTCCAATATGGGAGATGCCGTTGTAATCAAGAAACGCCGCACGTCGAGTCAGGCGTAACCTGATGACCTTCTGCATCAGCATTTATTGGCTTATTTAATGTCGAATGTAAGACTTATAGGGCAAAAATCCCATCGAATTAATAGAGATGTAGACATAGGTCCGGTTTACACTAGATCCGTCACCAAAGTAGACATAGGTTCGGTTTACACTAGATCCGTCACAAAAGTAGACATAGGTTCGGTTTACACTAGATCCGTCACAAAAGTAGACATAGGTTCGGTTTACACTAGATCCGTCACAAAAGTAGACATAGGTTCGGTTTACACTAGATCCATCACAAAAGTAGACATAGGTTCGGTTTACACTAGATCTGTCACAAAAGTACACATAGGTTTGGTTTACACAAGATCCGTCACAAAAGTACACATAGGTTCGGTTTACATTAGATCCGTCACAAAAGTAGACATAGGTTCGGTTTACACTAGATCCGTCACAAAAGTAGACATAGGTTCGGGTTACACTAGATCCATCACAAAAGTACACATAGGTTCGGTTTACACTAGATCCGTCACAAAAGTACACATAGGTTCGGTTTACACTAGATCCGTCACAAAAAGTACACATAGGTTCGGTTTACACTAGATCCGTCACAAAAAGTACACATAGGTTCGGTTTACACTAGATCCGTCACAAAAGTACACATAGGTTCGGTTTACACTAGATCCGTCACAAAAGTACACATAGGTTCGGTTTACACTAGATCCGTCACAAAAGTACACATAGGTTCGGTTTACACTAGATCCGTCACAAAAGTACACATAGGTTCGGTTTACACTAGATTCGTCACAAAGGTAGACAGGTCCAGTTTATATTTGAGTCGTCACAAAAGTAGACATAGGTTCAATTTGCAGTCGTATCGTCAAAAAGTTAGACAAAGATCCAGTTTACACTAAATTTATCACAAAAGTAGACATAGTTTGCCCTGTAGTCATCAAAAATCTAGACATAGATCCAGTTTATTCTCGAGTCACCACAAAGCTAGACATAGGTCTGGTTTACACTCGAATCGTCAAAAAGTTAGACATAGGTCCAGTTTACACTAGATTTGTCACAAAAATAGAATAGGTCTGGTTTGCCCTGTATTCATCAAAAAACTAGACATAGATTCGATTTACACTAAAGTAAAATATGTTAGACATAAGTCTTTTACACAAGGTAAACGTAGGTGCGATTGACATGAGAGTCGTCGAAATGGAAGCGATAGGCTCGAGTTGCATTGTCCGGTTTACATGTGAGTCATCAAAAAGCTAGACATAGGCCCGTTTCCCTCTAGAGTCACGAATGTAAATATATACACGGTTTAAACTAGAGTAAAAAATGTGGACATTTATCGAGATTATCCTTAAGTATATATGTACCTACCTTTTTTTTAGTGGGGGGGGGTCTTACTTCCGTATTGTGACGGTGTCCGTGTATTCTAAGCCTAGCCAGCGGGCATGGAAGCTGACAAGGAACCTATTTCCAGGAGTTCGCTATTCAGCGTCTATTGCGCGAAGTTGTGATAAGACCGGTGTCTTATGTGAAGCGACAACATTTGCATTATCGTGCATTATTAGGCATACACTTAACTGTCTCACGATGGCCGTAAATGCAGGACGTCGTCACTCACACACGTCGTAACTCTGAGGTAACATTTATATATTATTTGTAACATTCAATTTTCTACTGTTTTTTTATTCTGTCCGAATATGATCGAGGTAGTTAAAGAAGTAACCAATCTTGAGAAATGACGCGTAGCTCCGCATCAAAGTAGTCTCTTTGAGATGTAACACACTTGTTCTAACGTTACCTTACACTTTTCATAATCCCTCTGTAGGGATACAGAAGACGATTATCTCCCTTTGGTTGAGATAAGTCACGTGGATCACGTGATAGTCGCTTACTGACGTCACTTTATACAGTGACGAAAGTGGCCAGTCATTCAGTTTTGTTTACAGAAGCTAAACGAAGCAGGGGTTTGTTTAATCCGGGCCGCCCGTGGGGAGGGTAAATCTGCCTCCCATAGCAGCTTACAAGACCATGGGGCCGTCTTCTTTTGAAATATATCTTTCCCGGATATAGAAAGAAACTCCGACTCGAAGGTTGGGAAAACCCAAGGCTCTCCATTTCCTGTTCTTGGAATATGACCTCGCCTAGAACATAGATTAATTCTGCCCGTTTGAATATGGAATCCTAAACATGGCTTCTCCAGAAATACAGAAGAATCTCCACATTATATAAGACCCTATTTTTTCGTTCCCCTTTCTTCTCTGCGTGTGACACGTGTAAATATATATATATAGTTTTGTGTGTGTCTTAATGGTGTACAAGTCTCTCTGCGAACGAAGCATTTTTGTCTTTCTTTTTACTTTCAGCCATTCCGTTCCATCCGTGAAATACGGTGTTATTATTTCATTGATATAATAATGTCCAAAATGAGGGTAATACAAAAGGGAGAATAAACCTTTCTTCGAAGCTCTCCCGTTATATCTCTTTTGGAATTGTCATCAACTATTTCGTTGCGATCTGCGTAATTTCGTCCACGTTCAACGACGATAGCCAGGAGTCCCAGATAGACAAATCTGGACAGAGGAGGGACTCAGATCGATCTACGTAATACGATGTTTAAAAAAAAAAAAAAGTGCACGAATCTTTGCTGCGCTACTTGCTTGGTCGTTGTGAATACAGCGGTCTCGAAATGCACAATCTCAGTGATTAGTGTCTCATTATGATCTGAATAACTCCATAGGAGAGTATCTGTTTAGGCATGCACAGCAATGTATTATCTGTTTTCTTATTATCTCCTATATTTAGCATTTTTGCAGATTAAAAGCATGAATTTTTAAGTGTGTTCATACAGTTATGTTGTTCCAGAAAGGCCCCGAAACTGGCTTCACCTGATGAGCATGACCAACTGGCGAGTGATTTCAATTATCTCTTTGGAACGATATTAAATTAAATCTTACTAATCTTATAAAATTCGATGACGATCTATAAGGAAACGAAGTAAATGCCCTCAGCGATAAGTTAATAAAAATCGATGCGATTAAAGTAATTATCTGTTTCGAATTAGCGGTTCGTTGCGTATTTGACGAAGGTTACTTACCAATAAGTGGCACAGCATCAGACGTGGGAGGCATTGTCTCGGCTACCAGTAACAGGAACACCATGAGAGACAGAAGGATTGTTACACCTGGGGAAAAAATCAAGATAATCAACTTCGATTAATGAGGTGATCGATAGATCAGTCAGTTTGTTTCTGCACACAAACACATACATACACACACACTTAGGTACATATGCATATACACAGGTACACAATCACACAGGTACAAAACACACATACACACAGGTGCACAAACACATATACGCACAGGTATGCAAACACGCTCATAAACACACAGGTACGCAAAAACACATACACAGGTACACACACACACACACACACACACACACACACACACACACACACACGTACCGACACATACACAAGCACACAGGTGAACAAATACACATATAGAGGTAGACAATCATACAGGTACGAAAATAGACTCAAACACACAGGGTTACACAAATACACACACATATACACAAACACACAGGTACACAAACGCACACACACAAAGAGGTATAGAAACACAAACATCGCCTGACACGTTTGCCTCTATCCAACACTTGAGTAAGCTCAAAAGGACCAACCCAAGATGTGTGTTATGTGAGGAGATCAAACCAAGTAGGTACAAAAAATTATAGTGTAGTAACATCTCCGAAGGTGTATAGGAAAAGCAAAAGATGACTTCCAGAAACTAAGCAAGGTATTATTATTATTATTATAGCACCTGATCCATCACACCCTAATACAATTCTGTCAATAACCAGGGGGGATCTACAGAAAAGATTATTTTTACTATTTATATTTGGACTATTATCCTCATCTTTGTCGTTATTAACAGCTATTTATATTCGAACTATTGTCCTAATCTTTGTTGATATTATCACCTATTTATATTTGAACTATTGTCCTCATCTTTGTTGTTATTATCACCTATTTATATTCGAACCATTGTCCTAATCTTTGTCGTTATTATCACCTATTTATATTCGAACTATTGTCCTCATCTTTGTTGTTATTATCACACTAGGGAAATAGTCCGAATATAAATAGTGTAAATAATGACAAGTCCTTATCGCAGAAGTTCAGATAGAAATTACCGAGAGATTTAAAAGAAAAGAAATACTGTTAATGGTAAATGGTAAAATACTACCTGAGAAACATAAAGTTAAACCTGCAGAAAAATATGAGAAGTGGCCAAAGAATAAGGATTAGTAAAGGAGTACATACATTCAACTTGTACTGCTTTCTTGCTTTTTATATACAGTGATATTTTCCGCTATTGCTAAATTGATTTTGTAAAGGAATATGCGGATGGCGTAACGTTTATCGGCACAAGAAAGGAAAGCTGCGTGCAAGAAAGCATGAATGCATATTTTATCGCAGGGATGGCTTAAATGGCGGGATAGAGAGGGCTCTATAGTCTTAGTTAGAGGTCAGTCTAACGGCAACTATGAAATCCATGCCGTGGAATAGGTAAGAAAAAATCACCCCAATATCTTTCCGTAAACATTATAAAAAATGGCTGATAATAAGGAAATGGATTCTGTGGAGAATCATAATCAGGAATATTCTGAAAGATCTGGTAATGGTGAGATTAGCCCTTTCCTTATAATGAAACATTCGATATTCAGTAACCGAACAGATCACGTTACCACCTGTTGAATAAACTACATCCGATAGCAAGGCCCCTGGTCAGGAGATTGGAGATTTTGAGGAAAGTGGAACCACCTCTTAATTGCCGTTATTCCAAGGTCCACCCTCATCTGAGATGGTAGCACCTGTTAGGGTCCCATCTATGGTCGAACCCCGAAACAAAAACAAAACGCCATGAAAGTATAAAGATATATTTTTATATTAAAAAATAACATTTTTATATAAAAAATTACTTATTTATATAAAAATACCAACAATGCATATTTATAGTAAAATACCCAGCAATAAATTTTAAAGCAAAATGATGTGTAATACATTTTATAGTAGAATAACTAACAATACATTTAATCTGTAGTTGAAGGCATACAATTGCGTTCGAAATATATTTAGTTGAAGTCATAAAATAGTTTTCAAAATATGTAGGTTTCGGCATTAAATAACCCATAGAGGTGTTGATATGCCGCTAAACAAAGTCAACCATAATACATGTTGAAATTTATAAAAAT